TGGCATAACTAGTGGCATCAATGGCGTATAGCGGGTTGATGACGGGCCCCAGTGCATAATTGCCGGGCCCAAAAAGGTACCTGATCGGACCCAGAGACAGAGCCTTGGTGGGTTCTACTCAGGCGAAAATCTTAATGTTCGTATACATTCTGAAATTCTTTAAAAGAGATACGGTATTGTAATGGGCATAAATATCTATAAAATAAAATATTCGAATAAAATATTCAAGGATATTGAGAACAAAATGTAGTAAATTCATATATATTTTATCGTTTAGGTTAGGAATTTCTTTTTAATAAGTACGGTATAATATTGAACACAATAGAACAATCAATGACCTGATTTCAGTGAAGAAAAACGCATTCATGAAGTATGATGACCTGACGTGATTCAAAAACGTGCACATTATAGTTGCAAAGAGTAATAGGCCTATCACACAAAAGAATAGGCCTATCAAACAAAAACGCGCGTGCCGATTTCAATTGCTTTAGAAATATGTTTTCAAAAAGTATTTTAGTTCATCGTACCGTACGAAGCATCGTAAATGCCTAATGGAAGAAAATAACCTTGATTGTATTCAACAGATACAAAGCTGTCGTGGCACTTTTTTTTTCTCGTAAAAATTCATCCTACTTGTAGAGTTCCGTGGCACGTAATACTCTAGTTAAATTGTAAGGAAGTAGTATGGCCTCTAAAGCCTAATAATATTGAGGGGAAAATTTAATTATGAATTTTTAAAGTTTTATAGGCCTATTTAGATCTGTTATGCCTAAACACACCTCGTCGTTGTCTGCCTCTTCGTTGAACTCTCTATTAATAGACATTTCACCGACATAGCAATCTCTTACAGTTAAGAATATTTTTATAACGAACCTTGAGTGTTAACTGCGCCTTTGACCAGTTTTTGAATTGGCGCATTACATTTGTTGATTATTATTATTATTATTATTATTATTATTATTATTATTATTATTATTATTATTATTATTATTATTATTATTATTATTATTATTTTTATTATTATTATTATTATTATTATTAATAAAATTATTACAGTATTATTGTTATTATTATTAAAATTATTACAGTATTATTGTTATTTATTTATAAATCTGTAGAACCGTACCAAGATTTGACAACCAATGACATTGCCCGATTCCTGTCTCTTATACACATCTAGATGTGTATTATTATTATTATTATTATTATTATTATTATTATTATTATTATTATTATTATTATTATTATTATTATTATTATTATTATTATTATTATTATTATTATTATTATTATCATTAATAAAATTATTACAGTATTATTGTTATTATTATTAAAATTATTACAGTATTATTGTTATTTATTTATAAATCTGTAGTACCGTACCAAGGTTTGACAACCAATGACATTGCCCGATTCACATTGGTGGTTCCAAACGGCTACGTAACACAGTTCCATGGTAATGTGGGCGTATACAACTGCCTATAATTACAACAAAAGAGGCACTACCCTGATTGGTAATAATGAAGCTAATTAAATTGTGCATAAATCAAGACTTTAGAAAAGAGAAGAAACATTATCTTTTACATAATAATTGCATGTTTGATCAAATATCAAAGACACCGGTATGTGGCTTGGACTGGTAGAAACAATACATTATACCATTTAAGGGCACCAAGCGCAAGTATAGTGCCAAGTAGTGAGAATATGCAATCAATCATCACACGGAATTGTGTTCTTAAGGTCGTTCATAATTAAAACGCACTTACTTTACAATCCTATTATTAAGTTATGAAATCTGAAATACATTTTTTTTATTTAGATTCCGATGGTGATTTTTCACTTGACTTGCTAGGTTTACTGATTCAATTTGTGATCATTACGCTTGAATAGTAACACAATGGCTGTTGATTTGTTATCAATGAAAGTTCACGTAATTCGTCACACATACAAATAATGGGCTAATATTCAATACGCAACTAAACCAGAATTGTTATCTGCGTTGCGTTGACTGATACCACATACGAAATCCGAGGCATTTTGAATCTTTAGCAGTTTTGTATCCTCGTTGAATCAGGGAGACTCCTCCGGCGGATCCACCCAGGAGTCACCGTTGTTGGAGTGAGATGTTGATTGTAAAATGTAGGCCTATATATAGATAAAGAAAAATATAGAATATTAAATTTTATTTTACACAAACCACAGAAACACACATAGGTCTGAAACTGTTTCTTTTCGGTTTGATGACCAAGAATAATTGAATTTTAAACGTTCCTAAAACAATGGAGAAATATACTTATTCCTCCATGTTCAGTTGAAACAGCTCTTATCCAGTGGTTACAGGAGCTTAAATCTCAACGGTCGATAGAAACATTGATTCAGGGGTGGCGCCAGCGAAGGGGGAAGGCCAGCGGAACGTTTTTCAAAGTTGGGGGGAAGGGTGTGGTGGACACTAGTAAGATGAATGGGAATTATATGAATGAGGGAGATCTGGGTTCAAATTGGTGGGGGTGGGGGTGTCAAAAATTTACCTAAAACCCCCAAAACGGAAGGGGCCCGGAGGCCCTTCCCCTGCGTGTCTTTTAATGACTTAGTTCTTCAAAATTCAAGTTCCCCCCACCCCCTCTTGAAAACAGTCAGGAAAACTTCCTCATTCTTATTACTGTAAATAGGCCTATTATACATAAATAAAAAAAAAATGAGTAGTTGCATACGTATTCTTTTTTCCATGAATCGACAAACCCAAAAGAAAAAGGTGGGGGGTCCGTGGTCTTCCCCGGGAAAATTTTGATTCCAGATGGTGAGAAATGAGCTTTCCCGACTTCTGAGGTGTCTTTTAATGACTTTTAAGTTCTTCAAAATCAAGGTTTTCCCCTCTTGAAAAGGATTCAATGAATCAATGAACCAGGGGTTCGGGTCCCCCCGGGAAAACGTTAATTTCTAAATAGCGGGAAGTGAGCTTTCCGACTTTTGAGTGTCTTTTATGACTTCTGAGTTCTTAAAAATTTAAGGTTTTCTTCCTTGAAAACGGTCAGGTCAATTTTTCTCATTCTTATTACAGTAAATAGGCCTATTATGTGTGTACCGTTGTACATACGTTGCTTTCGTATTTTTTTTTTCCAGTAATCGATGAACCCCAAAAATTAAATTGGGTCGGGGTGGGTACTCCTCCGAGAAAATTTTGACCCTTAGATGGCGGGAAATGAGCTTTCTCGACTTCTAATTTTCTTTTTGTAACAACAAACCAGCTCGCGGGTCCTAAAAAGGTAGAAGTCTAGAATTCTTTTTTTTTTTTTGCCCAAGGGAGGGTGGTCAGGACCCCTGACCACCAGATCTGCCAATGTGAATTGCCAGAAAAAATGTAACTCGGTCGGGGACTGGATAAATACTCTCTTTCCCCTCCCTCTCCTCCTTCTTCCCTCTTTCTTTTCTTGCATTTCTTTCCGATCATACAAAAATCTCCAGACATACATTTCTGCCAAAAAGTGAAGGGGGCGGGGCGATTAGAAAGTAAAACATAATTGAAGGTAGTACTTCGAAATATGACGTATACAGTAGTTACACGTACGTATTCTCTCTTTCATTTTCGACTGAATAAAAGTCACTGCTATAAGTATCCCAAACAGGAGTTGTGTCGGAACATGGGTGACACTTTATTTTAATAGACGAGCTTTCTAGAGTGTCCAATCAGAGCACCAATTTTCCCACAAACACGTCACGTGTGATTTTACGTACGTTTCGCTATCTTTCTGTGTGGACCCTAGTTACAATATCCAAGGGGCGGGGCTTAGTAAGAAAAGTCTATTTCCTGGTCTTTACCTCGTCCTTCAGGTGAAACGTCAAGCTGCGTTTTGTTCCTCATTATGGCTTGTTCACGAAGATTTATAACTCTTTACAACTATTCAGTAAACAGTGCACAGTAGGATATTACTTCCTGGTCCACTTCATTTCCTGTTCCTCTCGTTGCTGGATGTTATGACTATCATGTCTTTCACAATCAAATTATAATTTAAATCCTTTAAAAAATTCCCGATTTTAAGTGAATTAAAAATATTAAATGAAACCATTTTACAATTTAAAACTTAATTATAAATATAGGCATTCTTGGTGGAACCCAAAGTAAAATTATTGCATGTCTGCATATTCATTGAACTTTATTTCAATAGACTAAAAAAAAGTGTATAAATCAACATAACACATATTTTTTTCACAACCTTGTTGAAGTTAAAGAATACTCAGATATAAATACATATAGGCCCTACAATTGTCCTTATATTATACAGTGTTTTATATATACATTATCATTCATTATATATTCATTGTATTTCATGCTATGGGTATGTGATTCCAAACTACAGTTGAATTGATATAGATATATAAATAAATAAATAAATAAATAAAAGCGAGGTTCGACAGTAGCTTTGATTAGACATTTTATTACTACTTAGTTTCGTACCACACACATGGTGTGACACTCTTCAGATAAAATTGCCTAATTTAATAAAATGTCTAATCAAAGCTATGAACCTCGCTTTTAATTTATTTATATCCGCTATGGTCTACCTATAAGAGAGAGTGTATATATATATATATATATATATATATATATATATATATATATATATATATATATATATGCCTATGTATTAGGCTTATATCAAAGTGTTATATAACCTCCATGTCATTGTGTGATTGACTAAACGTTACACTTGGTTTGATAATATTAAATTTATAGTTAAATCTATATCTAGTGTTTAATGTAATGCGTAAGTTGTACCTAGCGTTCTCCTTGCAAAAATGTGGCTATTTAAAACCGAGAGTAATGACTTCAGGCCTTAAATATATCCTTGTTTGTGGGTTTTGATTTCCTTTAAAAAATCTTGCCATTTTGAAAGTGCAAAAGCAACTTACTGTACGAAGATTAGTCATTTGTGAGACACTGAACTGCAAACGCTTTCTGTTGCTGATCGTTGTGAAATTCTCCTAACGCACTTCCGGGTCAGCAATTGGTACCTTGTGGCGGGGCAGACTAATAACCTTCGAGGGAGCGCGTGCGGAAGTTCTAGGCTGTGTTTTCGTGTTATTTACCATCTATCTGACTGTAGACATTACACTTAATTTACTTGGACTTTATTTGTAGCCAGTCGGTCTTCAAGATGAACGATGAACTAACTTATATGGAACAGGAGGAAGAATGGGATCGTGAAACTGTATTAGATCCAGCATGGGAGAGGCAGCAGAAGAAGGTAGGCTAGCTTCTTGCTTGTTGGATGGGCAGGGCTGTATTTCACTCAGTTTGCATTAGGCTTAGTAGCAAATGTACACTTGACTAAGTAAGGGCCTAGGCCTAAGCTAGCCTAGGTGTTTGGGAATCATCGATGCTTTGATTGTGGGGCAGGGCAGTACAAAATTATAACCGGATAGGGCTAGCAGAGCTTTAGAACTTTGGCTGATGTTTTTTTAAAGGTTGTTAATCTTCCGCAGAATGATAATCTTGCACTAAAAGTAAGTAGGCTAGGCCTAGGCCCAGCCCCTCCTAGTAGCCTAGATTACTGTAGAGTACTAGGCATAGAATAGCTAGGCCTAAGTGCTCTATGGCCTAGAGTAGAAAGACCTAGTAGTATTAGTACTGCACTGTATTGACTGAATACTGTAGTTAGCGGTAGTAACTGCATGTATTTTACTTACTTAGGTTTACTTTTTATGTAAATATTGATGATTTCAAAAAAAATAAAATTTTATTTTTGGCCAATTAGCGCACCCTCTGCCAAAAAGCCAAAAAAAAAAATTAAAAAAACTTTTTTTTAATTGATAGCAAACTCTTGAGTTGCCCTAATTAGAAATACTCTTGGAAACACTAAATTGGACCACCTGTGTTAAGGGACTACCTCCCAAATGATCACAACAAAAAAATGAATGATGACTTATGTTAATGCAAACTCGGAGTCTACAGTTCCCTGCTATTCAGACTGCAAATGTACTCTTAATTAACTAGGGGACCAGTAAAATTGATAAAATATTTAAAGTGAAACTTAATGTGTTAGTTTACTAGGGCAAGTCCCTTAGAAGGTGTTGCTGATTGTTAACTCAGTCAAGGGTTCTTCTGTTGCTCAATAAATGTAGATAACTTGCTTGTTTATGATCCCATAGATTGGTTTATTGTCTCTTTATCAATTGGTATTTAATACTGTAGCCAAGTTCAGGTATTTGAAAATCTCACTCGGATAGTGCTTAAATCTCAATAAGATACATACTGTAAAACTCAGTACCTCTGTAATACAGTACCCACTGGCATTTATTTATATAAAAGGATCAGTGTCGAAAGGTGTGATTCTACTGAAAATCTAGATTGAAACAGTTCTCTTTGGTTGATAATCAGTTTACCAAGTTAAGGACTAATTAATATAGATACGGTAATTGTGAGACCGGAAATTGTTCCTAATGAAATGGTATTCATTTCTTTGTCATGATAAAATAATTCATTTTTTAGAGCCCTGTTTCTACTGCCACAGGAAAGCGAATACTGGTACTGGTTTCTTTTATCATGTTTTTAGAACTTAATAAAATTTTATGAGAATGTTATTTCAATGGCAAACCAACTTATGATGTAAGCCAGGGTATGTTTCTACTTAGAAACATACCCTAGCTTATATCATAGGTTGGTTTGCCATCGAAATTACATTCTCATAAAATTTTATTAAGTTTTAGAACATGATAAAAGCAACTAGTAGAGTAAAGATGTTACTGTTGGATTTCCAGCATAAATGACATAAAAACAAGAACTATCAAATATTATGCAATAAACCTACTCCTCTGCTATACCCTGCTTTGCATATGGTGATGTATTTCGGTGGTTCAAAATGAGTGTCATTTTGTTTTTCCATCAGGTTGTTAACCTTATTTTGCCGCTTCAGGTCACTGACCTTGTTTCTAGGTTGTAACACTAGTAGCCATTGATTAAAATTCCGAAATTGGAATGGTATTAAAATCATTAGATCACTTTGGAAGAATATTTACATTGTGAAATAATATCTATAATACAGTATGTTGTTGACCATTTCAATTTTGAATGATCTTCAGGTCACAAAGCTATGGTCAATGGTCATGTATTTGTACAGTGCATATACAATCTCTATATATTCCAGGACAACAAATAAGAAAACCAGAATAAATGAATAAATTTATTAAAAAATAAATACATAGCAAAAGTAATGATTGGCATAGTTATACTATCCTAATCATTACAAGTGCTTTGGGGCTACTTTATTAATGTAAGGCGCAATACAGTATAAATTTAAATTATGATTATATGTTTGAAACAGAAAAGAAAGCAGTAAAAGAAAAACTACACAAATAAAGGAAATGTTGTAGTTTTGGTATTTATAAGTTTGTTTGATCATTAATTAAGGGAGTGTGATGTTGTCAGTAGGGAAAGAATAGGCTGTTATTAGCGGTGCGTCTGTCTACTGCTTGGTAAATTCTACTTTTGTGGCTACTTTTTAACTGATAACCCATCAACTTTTTCTGTGTTGGCAATTCACGCTAATATACAGTACAAGTAACAGATTGTTAACTGTTTAGTTCTTTCTAGACTGGTCTAGGCATGGCATCATATTTTGTAGACTTTTATTCTATCTTTGGCTTGTGAAGCATCCCGTAATTCCTCCAACCGAATTTACTCTTACAACTTACAGTACTACAGGAGAGTTGATGATAGCAAAGTGTCTACTTACCTGCAAATGAGTAGTAGACACAAAAATGAAATGTACAGTTTGGAAATGGGCCGTGCAATGTGTTATGAATTACGAAGAGAAGGTTCACTGTACACTACTGTATCACTCTGGATTAACTGTAGCTCCCAGGGAATAGGCTGTGCCGTGGATCCATATGGAATCAACGACAGTCTGGGGTATTATCAGAGTTGCACATGTTTCATATGGTCTTGAGGTTGTAAGATGCACTGAATATAAACCAAAGGTTTTTATTCTTAAAACTGACATTTTAAAACAGCATATTTATGCATTGTGAATTAATTTGCATTCAATTTAACTTAAACCCTGTGATTTTTATACAAAATACAAATGCTTAAATGTCATGAATTAATAATGAGTATATTTATGGAGCTTTGTCGTGTTTCAAACATAATCCCCATCTTGTGATTAAAGACAAACAATAACAATACAGTGCTTGAAATTTAATATTAATTATATTAGGTTACTATAGTAACAGGCCGCCTTCTGAGTGTCTTTGTAGATTCTGTTACAATGGCTAATGTATAGACATTGTTTATGTTGCATTCTGCCTTAAACACTGAAACTTTTTTATGACATAATCTATTGAAAGCTTAGTCTGTAATATACCATATCAATATTATACTAATGTATGATTAAATAAATAATGGATGAATAAATTCCAGCCAACATGAAATTTTCTTTTGTTTTATTAATTATAATTATTGTCCCACGTATAAACGAATGCGAAAAAGTCATCACTGAAAAGAAAAAGAGTTACAATATAATTTCATTCTTTTATTGTTCTGTAACATGGGGCCTATCCAGTCCAGAGTTCTGCTCTTCCTTTGGACTCAGCATAACAATACAAAATAATAATTAAAAAAATAATAATATAAAACAGAAATAATGCTGTAAAAATTGTTGAGAATTAAATTGGTACAATATATATTCACACAGTATCATGAAGAAGAGGTTTGATAGCACAGCTCTTCCTTAGGGCTCAGCATAAAAATTCAAGATAATATAAAAGGAAATTAAATATAAAACAGAAATAATGCTGTGAAAATTGTTGAGAGAATTAATTTGATATAGTACATTATAGCACTGGAGTATCCACATAGTATCATGAATGTATTGGATTGGATTGGATATATTCGGTGTAAACACCAAGGATAGCCCACGAAAGTCTAGAAGAAGACTTATTTCCAGTGGGTTCCTCCTGGTGGTGATTGGACAGTACACCGGGAGACAATCCCCTACTCTTTTTCGAAGAGTGTACTGCGTTCTTTAACATGCACATGGGCCATAATAAATGCATACGGCACCAACGGCTTTGATTCAAGAGATACAGTACTGTATACATTTACAGTAAGTTACCAAGTCAGAGGTTTGCTGTGTGCCTAAAATGATTTGACCCTTTCTGCCTTCTTGTCACCCCATGCAATGGGAGACAGATAACACTCCTAAAATTCAACGAATTTTAAATCTTTTAAATGTTGGCAGCTAAAAGTAGGATGCTTGAATACAAATACAATAAAATGTTAACCTACATTTCTTCTTTAAGCTATTTGTTCACAATGTCCTCATTGACTGACATTGTAGAGGAAAACAATATAATCATATCCTTTTAAGTACATAGCTTAGATTGTTCCTGAATTTTGTTTTCCCTTATCTTTACTATCGGGGACATGGAAACCAAGTCAAAATAGGATGTTTGCTGTTTATTACTGATCCAAATAACTAATAAATATTCTCACTGAACGGCTTTTGATGTCCTACTGTAGTTGAGGTTGGTTTCTGTGATGATAATTTGCAGAATTTTTTTAGTGCCAAGTACAGATGATCATTATTAATTTTTATAACATATTTTTTCACAATATCATAACCAAGGGCTTTGTTTGTTGTTTGTCAGTAAAGGTCATCAGCATCATTTTGCGGCCGCAACCGAGATCCAATTCACCACGCGACGCCAGGATTCCTTGGCTAGCATTAGGCTTTGAAGGTTCTCTATCTCTTGTTGGGTGTCCCTACCAATCATATCTATGTAATTAAAAAGTCTTCGTCCTCTTTTGGGGCTCGGAAGCCTCCAAAATAACACATCAGATATGACCATGTCAGTAGCACGATAACAGTGGCCAGCAAAGCGTACTCTAAGTTGAGCGACAGTAGTACTAGTAGAGATCGGTAGAATATCTCCGTAAAATTTGTTCTTTGGTTATGTGCTCACGCCATGAGATGTTTTTACAGGTAAGGATAAAGGTAAGTAAAGGTAAAGGTACTGTAGATTAACTCATACAGTAACTCGCAGCATCATTGTGCTGAATTGAGTATGGATGTGGTCTGTGACTACTGTAGTAGGGATACGTGCTTAGTTCACATCATTCCAAATCGGACACCTATTGCACTGATTTGAGGAGTACATATGATTGCAGTGGCTAGGGAACTGTTCAGTCGCTTTCTAGCTTATTGCTTAGAAAATAATTTAAATTATAAACTCATTAAAAATAATGAAA